CAGCGGAGCCCGGCCCCCTTCGCACCCCGCCGCCACGTGCGCTGCAGCCCCCGGCCCGGCCCGGCCCCGCCGCCTCTGTGTGTGTCGTCCGTAACCGGGTGTGCGTCCGCGTGTGTGTATGTGTGCGCCTGAGCGTGTGTGTCTGCATGTGTCTGTCTGGAACTGTGTGTCTGCGTGTGTCTCTGTGTCTGTGTATATAGCCGTGCGTGTGTCGCTGTGTGTATCTGTATTTCTGTGTCTGTCTCTGTGTGTGCATGTGTATTTCTGTGTCTGCGTGTGTGTCTGCATGTGTCTGTGTGTGTATCTGTATTTGTCTGCATGTCTGTGTGTTGCTGTGTGTGCCTGCGGGTGTATCTGTGTATGTGTGTATCTGCGTGCGTGTCTGTGTGCGCCTGTATCTGTCTGTGTGCACGTGTGTCTGCCCATCACTCCCAAGCCACAGCCACCCCAGCCCTGCAGCTGCCACGTACCCCTGACCCACATCAACCCTCCCTCCCTGGGCTCCAACCACCCCACCCCCCATCCCCAACACCTTCACAAATAACCCCTACACACACATGCACGCACACACACAATTCAAAAACAGCATCTCGTGATTTACAGTCCAAATCTCTTGATTTTTAAGAGTTTGTCTCATGATTTTTGACATGCTGGGATTGGCAACACTGAGACATGCACTCCCCCCTTTTGTAGGCACACGTATGCACACACCTTGTACAGACACGCAAACCCCTTATGTAGACACATATACATACACCCACACTTTGTATACACCTACATCCCCTTTTCTAGACAGTTGCATCTTGTATAGACACACACACCCTTTGATAGACACACATACACCCACGCACCTTGTATACATCCCTGCCTTCATAGACACATACACCTTGTATGGACACACACTTGCACATATCTTTTATAGACACACACACACACAAAACCCTTGTAGGGATATACACACATACACCCACACCCCCTCTATAGATACCCCCCCTTCTAGACACCCCCACCTTGTATAGACACACTCAGCCCTTGTATAGACACACTGTAGTTGTGGTGGGTGGCAAAGGGGGTAGCCCCATGCCTGGGGCAGCCCAAGGGAACCCACACAGGGAGGCTCCGTGCCCTTGTCCCCAGCCAAGAGCAGGGGGTGAGGGTGAGCTGGGCACTGAAGGGTGGTGGTTGTGGTTTGGGAGCAAGGTGTCCATTCAACTCCATCTGGCTTGTGCCAGGCCCAAGAGAAGCTGCGAGGCCAAGGTGCTGCAGCCCAAAGGCTCTGGCACTGCCCTGCCCACCCTAGCTTAGCCTGCCTAGGTGCCAGCGTGGGGCAGCTGCAGGCCATGGGGTGGGCAGTGGAAAAAGGGGGGAGAAAACAGCATGCTGGAGTGAGGGCGCAGCGCTGCTGGGGTGGGCATATCTCTCATGAGAGAGCCCCTGGAGCCTGGCTGAGGTGACCTCTCCCACAGCTTTTCCTCCGGGTCTCTACCTCCTTGTCTACAGGTGCAGTGCGTGCATGCACACACCCCTTTTACACACACACACACACCTTTTACACATGCACATACACACACCTAGAAAAGTCTAGATACACATATAGACACTCACGCATGCCTTTTATAGACAAATACACCCACCTTTTCTTGAAACAGCCCCCGCTTTACAGACACACACAACCCTTTTCTAGACAAACACACCTTTTATAGACATACGCAGAGGGACACCCCTTTTTTAGATATATACACACCCCTTTTCTAGACAAATGCACCCACCTTTTCAAGACTAACACACACCTCTTTTATAAATATGCATCCGCACCCCTTTTCTAGACACACCCACACACCCCTTCTCTAGATTAACATAGACCTTTTCTTGACATACATGTACCCCTTTTCAAGACACACACGCTTTTTCTAGATGTGCACTTCTTTTATAAACATACACACGTACCTTTTCTAGATACACCCCCCCCTTCTAGACAAACACATCTTTTATAGACATA